TTCGGCATAGGATACCTTGGGGTGATTAGCCTCATACTGTTCACGCGCCTCACGGAAAGAAATGTTCTTTGAAGTTTTGAGTGATATAATTTCCTTTTCCTTCATGAAGGCTGGACAACGTCGGTCGAAAGTTGTGTGCGGTACCTGCCCTGTGCCACAGTTAACGCACCAAGGCTGCACAGAGGTACACTGGTCTCCCGCATGCTCGGAAGATGCACACTTCCCACAGACAGCTCGACTGCGGCAGTGTGGTTTTGTATGACCAAAGCGCTGGCATTGAAAACATCGCATCGGATTCGGAACGAAGACCCTGACTTTGACAACTGCGTAGCCAATGCGGATATCAGACGGTAAATCAGGCCGGTTGAATATCAGCTAAAATGTTGTTTGTAGGGATTTGGTCATCACCCCTCCTGGTCGTGATCCTACGTGCTGCCGTGACCCCGAAAGTTCCCAACTCTTCGATGATTTCCTCCTCGCTGACGTCACAAGGGGTCATAGCAGTTTATGATACCTTTTGAGAAATTTTTGGTGATGGTGCGGTGTGACCGTGACTTGGCACGCTCACGTCTCGCTTTGCACCCTCGGTTCTCGCGGCATATACAAATTCAGTAACAGTCAAAGCTCGAGTCGCATCGGTGCCGTTTGCGAACTCCACTTCGATCGCGCCGTCCCTCAGCTTGTCACAGCGGGTGACTTTCCCAACCTGTCGCATCCGTTTCGGCGCTGAAACGGTGAAAGCGATTCCAGGTTCTTCACGTCACTCCGGAAGACAAGAAACGCGTGGGGCAGGGTGGAACCGACTCCTCGCTGCGCCCTAAATTCATCGCAGATCCGTCCCCCCTCTCGGGGGGCGGGCGTTTTTTGGGTTTGTAGATGCCATGCAAGGTTGTTCTTTACTTCGGCACCGGGGCTCCCCACCCACCTCGGAGCCCAACTGGGGGGACGGCCCACCCGCTAGTTGGTGGTGGTGCCGCCAGGGCTACCTCGGTGCTATACGGGGCGGACGACGCCTTCCACACGGCCAGGTGTAACCGGGGAGACCCCTCCCCGTCCTGACCGTAGTTCAGCGCGCCGCCCCTTGACCCCTTAAGCCGCTGCGCGCGGCCAGGCGCCCCAAGCGGAGACCCGCAAGGGGCACCCAACCACAACGCGAGCGACAAGCCGCTAGACCCGTGTGGGGCCCCCCGGGCCCCCCACGCCCCCGGATATTCTGGCCAAAGTGGAGTGTTGGGGCGCGCCGTGACTGACCCGCACGACGCGCCCCTCAGCCACCAGGATCCGATCAACCCGGGGACGTGGGCGAGGGGGCACGGCGACCCCGATAAAACGAGGATGAGGAATGGTGATGGGGCCGGATGTGGGAGTGCGGGTGAGGTGGAAGGAGCGGGTGGGACAAGGAGCAGGAGCTCACGCACCGACAGGGTCGCTACGCCCTGAGAGGACCAGCTTGCGCTGTCCACCCGTTACCGGAGCTGGGACCCGAGGGGACGCTAGTCCCCCTACACCGACCGGAAGCCGGTTGCCCCTGCGGGCGATTGGTTTCTCTGTCTGCACGGGGCTTCTTGGGCTATTTCGGGTTAATTTATGACCATGGAGCAAGGAGGGATCGCAATGCATGGGTAGAGAGCAGGGCATGGAGACAATCGGCTCGGGTCGAAGTCGAACTCGCGCCCACGATCACCAACTATTCGGCTTAAAAACATGCGGGACACCTTCCTTCAAATCCGTCCGTCTTTTTTTCGTCAGTCGTCATTTCGTGGTTCAGTCCCTCATAATGGCTCGTTTGCCGATGTCTGCGCCTGGTAGGTCTCGACCGTGGAGGACACAAAGGTGCGGTAATCTTGCGCCTTCCACACTACTACGCCCTCCCGCATCCGTGAAATGGTCAATGTGACCGGAAGACCAACCAATCAAACCACAAAAAAATCCCTTCATACCATGGACGTTAGCCAACAGCACCCACTTGACCCTCCCCCACATTCTGTAAAACCACCTGCCTGCAACGTACTCTATAGAAGGCACACTGCAGGACGGCGACTGGCCGGCAGCGTCTGGTGCACGGGCCACGGGACGTGCTGGCCTCGGGCCAAGCGGCCTTCACGTCTCCTCTGTCCAGCGGCCAAACTGGCATGCCGTGGCGACGGCGCAGGCGGCTGCCGCCCCGGTGCCAGAGGCCTGTGCTGCTCTGCCATGAAATGCGCAGCGTGACTTGACCGACCGCGTGCGCGTGGACGTCATTGGCAGGGTGACGCAATAGAAACACGCGCGAGTCACGTGGAACTTGTTATAGTGCTGCCCTTGTTGTGGTTGATGCTAAGACACGCACTGTGTGCTGAAGCATGCCGTGCTGCTGGAATTAGGTTTCAGCTATCAATTTCTTATTCGAATTGTTTAAAAAGTTGTGACTTCCGTTTACCCCGCAAAGCATTGCTGAGTTCAATGGGGCGTAGACATAGTGACAAATTTGATGCCAGTAAATGCATTAACTATGCCATTGTCTTCCTACATGTTTAATATCCTTGTTTTCGACAGTGGGCTTGCTTTTTAAGTAGCATAATTAGACAAAACATCGATTTGAAGGAAACGCTACGCGTGGAGCATCGCCCCGCGGAAGATGAAGCTCAGTTAGTGGTCTTAAGCATGCTAGCGCTCTAGACTGAATCGTTACGGTGGATGAAAAGGCAACACCACAGCTCTTTAAAAACATTTGACCTGACGAAAAATCGGTTTCATCATCGAAATACGCGGACGTTTTTGTCGCAATCTCACTATGGGTGTTGGCGCTGACACTAGCACGGACCTTACTGGAGACCAGTACCAGCAGTGGTACTTCCAAATAGCAGCATTTTAGTTCGTCCAATACAATTGGCAATCAAGAAGTAACAATTTTTGAATGATTCAGTATGAACGAGTATTTGTTCCGGAATAATGTTCTGCTTGCAGTAGGAAAATTATGTATTTTGAAAATGCAGGCCCTCTGATCCATTCAAGCACAAGGATGTTCCGAAAACAGAGCGCAGATGTAACTGAAGTAACTGTAAGTAAGAAGTAAGAGAGCAATTGATGATAAGGTTGAGCATTTAGACGCAGATGCGAAAGTGTTTTACATGAACCTTACCGGCAAATGTACCTGGTGACTGCATGACCTCCTCTAATGCACAACATTTGTAGGTAAAGTGCACCTGTTCCCGAATCCGCGTTTGCCTTGCATTCTTCACTTAAGGAACATTTTTAGCAAAATTAGAAAATAAAGTAGACTGGAAAAATAGCGCGTACGCGTGTTCGCAACTATATGATTTGTGCTATTTATGTGTGCTTATTTATGTCAGTAGCGATTGGTATGCCAAATTGGTAAGGTAAGACGTCGGCGCCTCAAGTCAGCCTATTGCTTCATTATTTTTGTCAACACTAGCGTAATTTAGAAAAATTGGGCTAGGCTATATAAAAATAGGGCTGGGCTATAAAAAAATAGTCGTAAACGGGCCAGACCCTGGTCATTACACACCGTGCGCAGTAAATGAGTCGCTTTACGCGACCTACAGCACCTGGCGACTCAATTTCGGGAATCGATTTTGGAGGTCCCTTCGACCGTATTAAAAATGTACCCTTTAGTGAAATATCTTGGTAGACAAGAGGCTGCAATGCAAGTCTTGCATACAAGAGAATGCATTGGTACAAAGCGCACAGATTTTGTGCTTGCTTAAAACTGACGTCGTTTGAAGGCTGCTCATGCGCTTTCAATACCTTGAAACTACCGAGGGCTCACCGATTTCAACCAACTGTCAGATCTTAACAGACGCTAGATTTGCTCGGTACCATTTAAGGCCAAAGGTGCCCTAATGTGTGCTTGACCAGGCGTCTGCCAATGGTTGTAGCCTGAGAACAGACTTAAGTTTAACGCACATTCGAACAAAATTCGGGTCCAAATACTGGTACAGGCGCGATACCTTTTGAATTTAGCTGCTTCACCAACACGCAGGCAGCAAAGTTTCCCCACTCAAAACGAACAAAAATGTAGGAAAAAGAGATGTTTTGCGTGATTGCTTTGAACAGAAAAATGAACCTTGACCATCTAACAAGAAAGAGAGGGTGAGGCATCTCAGTCGACATGTTATTGGAGGTTAGAAGTGACCGGTTATTTCTTCACAACAGTCCCGCGTGACAAGACAGATCACAAAGAAATGCGGCGAATTCACGGATGCTACGAACCGGGTTCATGCCTCGATTATGGTTCGTGTTCCGCAGAAAACACTTAGCCACGGGCTCTGAGATGCGCATTACGTCCGTGTCTGCCGTGGCTTCTGTGTTCATGCCGCCTACCAGTCTTGCAGTATCCAACTTACTAGTGACACCTGGGGAACGAGGCGGGTGTTGAAGCGCCATCACCACAAATATCGACAGATATATAGCGTGCTACTGTGTGGCTTGTGCAATCAGGAAAGGCTGATGCAAACATTGCCTTCCAATCGCTCCTTTGAAGCATATTAGTCGGGAACGTCTTAGCCCTGTTTATTTTTCATTTTGTACTAACTGTTGAATGACACACAGACTGTCTCTGCAGCGTACACTGGCCATGATGGAAGCAAATGGATTACTGTTAAGGTTATTACTTTGCTAGCTGAACTGTCGCATTACCCGTGCATCGCCTGGTATGACAAATAGTGGCATTTGCGGGCAAGAGCAGCAAATACACGTAGTAATTAACACCGGAACGGATGAAAGCCCATGAAAATCACGCAATTTACGTCTAGAATAAAGTCAAACTACGCTTGATGGTATTGATTACTGATCAGCCCGCGTCATCAGCGGCGTTTCATGCGGGCCACGCCTGTCCAAACTTGGGCTGAGATAAGTCGGTCGGACCATATAAGTCCCCGGTAAGTCCCGGGCAGCTGGTGCCGTAAATCAAGACGAATCGCATGCCAATGAATTATGCACCCGGAAGCCTTGTAGGCAGATGTTCAACTGGTCGGCTTCGGTTAGTGCAGGCTCGCCCTTCAGAAGGGCGCGGTGCCAACAACAGCGTTCGACTCCTGGTAAGCTCGCGCAGCGTGTCTCTGCCGGACGGATTGGGCGGATTGGTCCGGTGTAGACTCCGGCGGGCCGACCTGGCGGCGCCACCTGGCCGCAGTCGGCGACGGGCGTCGGCGCCGCTCGACGGGAGCGGCGCCACCCGGCGGCAGTTGGCGTCGGCGCCGCTCGACGGGAGCGGCGC